TTAATATGAACACATTTAAAGTATATTGGTAGAGTTATGGGTTATTTATTAACGACAAAAGAGAGATTTCAAGATTCTGCTAACAGTGTTTTCCTGTAATTTGGAAATAAAAGGATAAGTGGCCTGTATACATACATAATAGCTCAAATCTGTCAAAAGAATTTCTGATACTTCGCCGATTCGAAAAGTCTGCTCGCAAGACATTGTTTTATTCATTGTAGAATAGTTGATTATTTAAATTAATATTATATTCATATAAAATTTTTTTCTATTTTACTTCCAAACGACGTTGGTTGATCTTATAGATATTTATATAATTTGCGCTTATCCGCCATTCATCACACACAACGCAAAGCACAAGTTAATACTTTTGTCTTTTTATGAGGACAAAAACTGTCTTTATCGAGGCAGACAGGATACGAGACGATAGTACGCAATGAAAAACCCCCGGAGCTCTTCTTTTCTAATAATACAAGGAATCGAGCGCTCGTGCAATCCACTCTGAAACGTTTCGCCAATACGCGGAACAGCGGGTGGCGCAGAAGTAGCGACAGCAGTAGCAGCAGCGGCGGCACGAGAGGAGGGTTGGAAATCACTTTCATCGCGACGTAATGTTACTAAGCGACAACTTCTCTCGCACCCTCTATCTGTCATGCCAATTAACCAGCCCTCTCTCCAGCCGTCGTCTCTTACGGGCCGCTCTCTTTCTCTCTCTTTCTCTCTCTTCGGGAGAAGCTATCGGCCGGGATTTATGCGACCCTTCAGAGCAATATATTTTTCACGATTACGATACTTCTCAGGTCAATGGATTATGTAATATTCCGCGAGTACGGGGCGCATCTCAAGGTGCAGCAGGCGAAACTTTTAATGAGGGGCATTAGTCGTCGAGATCCGTTCAAAATGGTGCAAAACTTGCGAGTGAGAAATACGGTTAAGAGATGCCTTTTGCATTAAAATGGAAATGCGAGACATACAGTTTGGCCGTAAGTGTGTTAAATCGCGTATTCCTCGGAACGTGCAATTTTTTCAACTTTTAAAATCTTTGTAGATAGACATTGTTTCGCTATCTGTTTTATCTCATTAGATCTTATTAATTATTACTTAGAAAGGACGCCTAAAAATTGACGTCTCGTAATAACGAATAAATATTCTCCGAGTGAATCTTCTCATGCGTGGATAGCCTTTAAGTATCATACTACGATACCCAGGAAAAATGCAACACCACCAAGAACAATATCGAGGGTGTAGAATGACGGATTAATCGCTCAAGAATCAGCAATCTCGTCGTAGCCGCCATAAGGCGCGGGATAAAGCACACTCTCGCACCCCGATGACGCAGGAAAAAAAGATACAGGAAGCCATGATAGCAAAGATAAAGGAGCGAAGGGGGATAAGAGTGAGTGCCAAGAGCGAACGGGAAGAGAGAGGAGAAGAAAGAGAGAGAGAGAACGGAGAGAGCGAGTCGGCGGCGGGCGTAAAAAGGCAGGAGAACGATGGCAGGAGATCGTAAAGTAAGTTCGTGGCGTGGATGGCCACCTTGGGGCTCTCCTAATGGACAATAACCGCGATATATCGCCTCATCCCGGAGGATCCTCTCCCCGGCAACTGAATGACTACTTCCGTTCCTATATCGCGACTTTAAACGCAACTATGAATGCGCTTGGCTCTCGCGCAGTTATATACGTTATGCACCACTTCGGCGTCGTCGCTCGACAGAATTGCGTTATCGTGAGATACGATGGACGCACCGCCATGAAAGGAATCGGCGGATTAAGAGAAATTCATGAAAGTTCGTTCTGTGTGCAAGGTTATATAAAGTTTTAATTTCTATTAAATTTAATTTAATAGAAATTAAAAAGATATTTTTTTTCTTTTTCTCTTAATTGCTTCTTATTTATTTTATTATTTTAACTTTACCTTATCAAGTTGTTTAGAATATAATGACGAATCCTTAGTCTGCTCAATTTTAAAGTTTATCACGAAGTATTTTTGTTTAATAGTACAATACTTTTGTTACATTTTTCATAAACTTTTTTTTTTAATCAAGTATACTTTTTATACGAAGATATGAAGGCCATTAATGTGGAAGTTTTATTTTGCGGATTTTATCTCGGCATAAAACAAAATCGGCGCGGAATCGGTCGCGCGTTGCGCTTCACGAACGTGTCGGGAGCGGAAGACGTCGCGACGTTCACGCGCAATCGCAAACGCAACGCTGACAATGCGATCGTTTGAAATTCAGTTAAAGGGCGTCCCTTCAATTACGGAGGCGTCGGACGCCGGCGCCAGCGCCGGCCGCATCAATAAAAGATAGACACGGCACACGAGACCGCATCTCTCGCCCGAGGCTGCATTAGCAGCGCGCGTCAAATCGATTAGCGCGATTAATAACAGCAAACTGCGGCGATCTTGGGGGGAGGGAAGCGAGCGCCCCGTTCTCTTTCATTAAACCCCCTTGCAACGCGATGTGATTCCTAGGGTGATCTGTTTCCTCGAGATCGTCATCGTTTTCTCGCTCGCGTTCATATTTCTCGCGTAACTCGATGAAAACGTGGGGGGAGGGAACACTGAAAAGGCGATTAAATTAACTGATTTGGAAAGGTACATTGTACATATACATATCAAAAATATGAAATGTATAAAAATATAATAGGTATACTTATAAAATATATAAATGAGACATTAAATAAAAATATGGATATATTTTGATTGTCCGTGAAAAATGACGAATCTCAGGAAAGCATAATGTTAAATTCGTAGTGTCAAATTATCTTACAATTACTTAATTATCAATTTGAGTCATTTTTAACCATTCCTATAGGTCACGATTGCTTTTACTCAATATGTCGTTAATTTAACTAAACTAATGAAGTTAAAATAATACTGTTTTGTGTTAAAATAATAAATTTCGACACACATGGCTGTTAAAAATGAGAAAATGTTATTTAACTCAAGGTATAAATTTTGTCCTTGGTTTAAATTTTATCCTTTAATATTCCACAGTGTACATTGCGCATATTAGAAGATTTAGCTAATCAAAGTACAAGTGGAACTCAACACTCAATTAGCTCTTTTAAATAAACGGATTGTTTGTCCCGCGTTGGGAGGCGAACGACATAAAATTTTTCTTTCTACAGTTTTTACCAGATACAAATTATTCTTTCGGAACAAATTAATTGCGCTTTTAGTTCGACAATTATATGTGAGATATCAGTTATTTTAATTTTAAGTAATAATCGCGACGCATTTAACGCTCGCGGGCTAACGATTACAGGAAATTCCTCCCGCGTTACCGCGCGTTCCGCTTCGAGGAACGAGAGGACGCGATATCGACGGAGAACGGAGGATCCATCCATCGCCTTCGGCAACTGACGTACGATGAAAAAAGGCTCGTAAAAAAAGGCGAATCAATCATAAAGTTAGCCTTTTATTCCACAAGAGAGCGGATAAAACGGCGCGCTCGCGGAACGGGGGAGTGCGCGGCGGGCGAGCAGTTGGTCGGCGGGCACCGCGGGGGGAAGAGGCGGAATATAAAGTTACGTCACACGTTTATTTCATTCCCGTCGATCCAATAAAAGTCCCAATAATAATTTCGGATGTTTTCCGATGCAACATGTTTGATTTAGTGTCGGACATTTTGTGATCGCATATCTGCCTCGTAAATCTCGCCGCGGTGGCGCCACTGCATAAAAATATCAAACGTCGATGTGTCCCGCGTTCAACCCCAATCCCGGGCGGTAAAATATTGCCCGCGATTCCGCGCGACGGAAATAGCCTTTCATGCCCCGCCGCCTGATAATTCCAGAATTTCGCAGATTTATACCCGGGAGAGGCCATGGAAGATACGCGCCCGCGCTCGATCGCGCCCGTTATTATTAATCGCCGCGTGTAACGATAAAGTGGGACGTTTAATTTTTAAAAATGGCCCCTAACGAATATCGCCGCGCCCGCGCCGGCCACTGGTTCGCCGCGCTCGCTCGCTCGCCCCCCTCGCGCTGTCCGGAAAAATATACGTCAAGATTATGCCGATTCGAGTACAATGTCGCGATCGAACGGCCGATCGGGCCGCATCGTAATTGAGTAATACAAAAAAAAGATTAACAAAAAAATAGTAAGCAAAATACAATCGCGCCACTTTGTGGCGAGTGATTTTGATGGCGGGCGTATATCAGTGCTCTGATGGTTGCGATCGGAGATTTCGATGCGCATAATAGTGATCGATTGCGATCACGTTGTAGAGTATGAACTGAGGGAGGGGTAATTGCATAACCGTTTCACATAAACCCTTAGGAACGGCGCGAAAGTTGATTTGCAACATGCGCAATTTACGTGATCGACGTCCCGCAATTAATATGTAGCTTTTTCGGAAGGTACATTGCTGTCCCAACGGTGCAATGATGCCTTTCGGAGATTTTTCGGTGCCAAGTGGATTACCAGGAATTCTATTAGAGATTAAGAACGAATAGACAAGCTCTTTTCTCTTCGAATCGCGTATATAATGAGGCTCTAAAATGAAAAATATCTGCGCGTCTCTCGATCCGCCCTTTTCTAAAGAACACCATATCATACATTGTTAAATATCAAAGGATGAAATTTAAACTAATATCTTGAGTTAGATAACATCTTGTTATTTTTAGCAACCATGTGTGTCGAAATTTATTATTTTAATATAAAATAATATTAATTTAATTTAATTGGTTTAGTTAAATTAACATTGTTTTAATTTTAGTTAACTTAACAACATATCGAAGAGCGATCTATAGGAATGGTTATAAAAATGACTCAAATTAAGTATAATTTAACAATCCGAATTCAACAGTGTACGCCTTTCGCTTAAATGCTACACGGCAACGAAAATGCACTTTTTTGCCGGCATATATTTTTTACCATTACCAAAATTGCATTTTAATACAAAATAATATTAATTTAACTTTATTGGTTTAGTCAAATTAACATTGTTTTAGTTAAATTAATGACAAATTGAATAGGAGCAATGGCGACCTATAGGAATGGTTAGAAATGACTCAAATTGAGTACAACTTAACGGTGTACGCCTTTTGTTTAAACGCTATACGGTAACAATGCACTTCTTTTCCGCCATGTTTGTGATTGCAATTGGATTATATTGATTAATTGTGCACTCAAGACAAATCGATGCAGTTGCGTAGCGAGATGAGGTACCGTCACTTCTCTCAATGATAAATTCTGCAGTCATTCTTTTTATAACAATTCTACGATGAGCGCTTGATTAATAACCGTGATTGCTTAACGACCTCGTGATAACCATCGATTTTATCATTAGAAGACACCGCGGTGTCTCATTCACCCCGCTGTCATAATTGTCCCCATTCATCTTATGCACTCTCCTCTAATGTAACTTTCATTATCCAGCCGTCCATCGTCGATACTTGATATTGAAACGTATTTTCGTATCCCATTTTCTATTTCTCGCGTGGCACGGAGAGAGGAACCTAAAAAAAAACATATAAATGTTAGCGACGCAGCATGTTAATAAGGGCGAATAAAAAAATACAGCGGTCGTATCGGTCGAATCGATTACTCGGATATCACTGCTTTGGCGGCAACGCTTACAGCTTCCATAAGCCAACAGCTGCGCGATATTCTTTGCATTCTCGGCAAAAATTTAGCTATCGAGCCACTTCAAGCTCAAATAAACAGAGCACTCCTTCTCGGTTTCTCCGGCGCGGAGCTCGTCGATATTACATAACGTACCGGTCCATATCGCGCACTTAGCGCTACATATACGCTCGAGATGTGGACGCGTATCCGCGCTAAGAGCGAGAGTCGAATTTCGCGACGCGAAGCGGCAAGGGACCCCTGCCGATCGCACATCCGACGATTTCTTGCCGTAGATCGGCAAATCCATTCGTCTCCTACGTGTCGGGCGTCGAACGAGGAACGGAGCAAGCATCCGGTCCCGAAATAATGACGCTCTCCGGGCGAGAAAAGGATCGCCCGGGCGCGGATTATTGAATTGGCACGAGACAACGAATGGGAGCGCACACTCCCATCGGAATATTAAAATAATCTGCCATTACTTTAATAAATCTGTCCCTCCGTTTTCCGGCGCTCCGGCTTCCTCGGAGCTGCCTCCCCTCGCCCACCCCCTCTTCTCTTTTACCCGCTCACCCCATCGGCCCTCCTCGACCCGCCTTCTAGCCGGGCTCCTCTCGAGAGCGCGAGAGCACTCGAGGCAGGCAGTCGCAGATGTCACTGTACCCCTAATGAGCGCGCTATTTTTCACGAGTATTTTTATCCCGTTTATTGGCTGCCCGCTTCACAAACTGTCGGCTGGATATTAATCATACGGCTCTTACAACTCTGGTTTTATTTCCTCTAAGGATAAAGAATGGCGGAGGGGCGGCGAAGAAAATGTCGAGGGGAACGAGAGCAACTCTCGCCTCTGCTTTCTCGCTCTTGCGTACGCGCGCGCGCGAGCTGTTCCTTCATTAATGTTATTAAACCGGCTTCCACGGACGCCGTCCTCGCCCCGGTCGTGACTCCACTTCGCGACTTACGGCCGACTTTTCGCCGAATCCAGTGCATCGCGGAGGACCTCGCAGGGCTTCGTAGTCTATACACGAATCGTAAAGAATGCTGCACGCGCGAATGAATTCATATATAGGTTTCACTAATCAGAATACACAATTTGACTTACGTCACTTTCGATCATCTAAACGTCGCTCAAGGATCATTACATTTGTGAATAATTTTATTTTTTTATTACTATAGAATATACTAATAGCATAACACCTCAGTTAACTCATCTTTACGTCTTCAGAAGTTAACATTTCCTCAACGCTATCTTCGAATCTTGTTCTACCTTTTTTTCTAAAAAAAAAAAAAAATTACCAATTTTGTTAATGTATGTTACAAATTTACATTAACGATTTACATTAACATTTACATTTTTTGTTCGTTCTATTGTATCTATCTGCAGACGCTTACCTGCCAAACGCACTAATAAATTTTCTCCTTTATATGAAGAACAGCTTTCAACGTGGCGTTAGGAACAAGATCACTAACTGTTTTCTACGTAGATCTACGTAGGCTGACGTGGATTACGTGCTAAAAAGGCTACATCTTCTATTCTTATTTCTGCGTTTACAGCTGATGGAAGTATCCTCAGAGTTGTCTCATGAACATGCAATAGGAGATTACCGTTTGAAGTATCTTAAGGACATGAACAGTTTTTGTACTTTTCGTCAATGCGACTTCCGCGTATCGATACACATTACGGGGTATTTTTTTCTCACCATTCCAAACTTCGGCAAAGACATTACGTAAAACCTACAGGCGGTTAGGACGAGCGGGTTGAAGCGTCGCTTTATTATTAACAACAACGATTTCTGCTCTGAAACATCTGCATTGTACCACTCAGAGTTGTACCTGTACGAAATCGAATATCTTGTCTTAGCTTTTAAAAATTGATTTAATTAAATAGACTTAAGTGATTAATGTAATGCAGTAAGTAACATAGTGATGAAGTAAGGGAGAAATCGAATTTAACTAAAGTTTATGAAAAACCGCATGTATAATACATTAGTGCATATAATAGCTTTAGAATTATATTATAACATTTACGATATTCCTGCCTTTACAAACATATTTGATAGCGCGTTTACAACGCGTTTACAACGAATTATCCAGCGCATATTTTCATTTGCATTACAAATGTAAAACATTGCGCAAAGAGAAATAGAGAGATCGAGAAATTGTCCCTCTCTCTTTTATCTACTTTGATCTTCTCTTCCTGCTCTAAATCTACACCGTTGCCAAACAGTTCAGATATATTTACTGTTAAAAAAAAAATTAAATTACTCACACCTTCTCGCATACGCTCGAACTTAGGTCTGTGACTTTTTGTCCCATATAATTAGATACGAATAGATATATCAGTGCTACAATAGCGATACCGGTAGATCTAAAGGCGCGCTCAATATCACCGCCAATGGTTAGCATCTGAAAAAGATCCCGTTTTTGCATTTTGATACGCTCAACGTATTTCTGCTTCAACATATCACTTGAATATATACCTGCGTTAACGCGAGGCTCACCGCAAGCACTAATCCCAGCAAGTCCATTAAAAACGGTATTGTGTGATAAATTTGAATCATGTCAATGAATCTTGCAATATAAAAGAAGGTCATGTATGTTAATCGAAACTGTGAGATGAAAGAAAAAAGATGTTTAATGAACATAAAAATAAGTTTATGTTAACGTACATTTTTACAAATAGATTTTTATAATATATATTTGCCAATGTTTAATTTTACAAAATTGTTTTAATCGATAAGGGAATAATAACCAAGTTCCTTTGTATCTTTACACAACCATATACTCAATTATAATTTATAAATATGCGATAATTTCTGCGCATGTTAAGAAGCGACTAAAAAGATATTATCTATTAAAAATATATCTATTAAAAAGCGACTAAAAATATATTTAAAAAAAACAAGATCAAGTGAAAACTTAGCGTTATTTAACTCGTCATTACTTTTCGACTTTGCATGCTAGCCATATAACATTTCTTCACAGAATGCTCGGTAAGTTGGACTAAACTGATTTAACAGATATCGCATGCCTTGTATAAAAGTACAAACTGTATAATGTTGTAATGCAGCCGTATAAAAACGACCATGTTTCCGCAACTTATTTTTGACCGTGTTAAATCGCATCCCGTCGCACCTTTGACAACGCAAAATAAGCGTTCTGCACGGTACCTGCCAAAATTATTATCAATTATTCTTGCCGTACAAAGTGAATGATACTCGTCTTGCAATAAGCAAACAAAAATAATCAATTATTATTAAGAAAAATAGAGAAAATGACAAGTTAAATGTTAAATTTAAAAATTTTTAAAAACGTGAAAAGAAAAATATTGTCAATATCTTTTTTTTTTAAATAAAAAAAGAGTTATAATTATCACGTGCGAATGTACACCCAGACTTAAAAGTTAATGGACCGCCTGCGCGATGAGTCGTTTGCTCCTTCGCAAATAATTGCGAGAAACAATTTCTTACCCCAGTAATTTGCACATTCCGCAAGCATGTTGCGTGAGAGCCACAAACAGAGAGGAAGTGGTAAGAAAAATTAGTGGCATTATCAAAACAACGAGGCATGTATGGGACCGAATGAAGTAAAAATATTGTTCCTCATCGACAAAGAACTCAGCTTTAAAAGGCTGCATTCGCGGCCGGGATTCATTCATTGGCGATATAACATCGAGGATCTCCGGCATGAACATCCATATGATGTACACAATTACAACTATGTACTGCAGAACTGAAAAATTCGACAATCGTAAATTTCCTAATACAATTATCATCAGTCAGTACAATCATCTACGTAAAAAAAAAAAAAATGAAAATTTTTTAATACATCAGTGATGGCGAGACCACTGTAATATTTTGCTTCTTTAACAATAAAACTATATTTTTAAGTATAACAATATATACCCAATATAAGATTATAAATAAATATCGTGCATAAATAATGCCAATGAAAAAATCATTTAGTTTTTTTTAATACTGTTTCTATTATTACATTCTACTGCAAGCTTTCAAAAAATTTTATTTCATAAAAATATTGTAATACGTGATACGAGGAAAAAATTGGGGAGAGTTTAGGAAAAAAGTGTGGGGAAATTCAGCAATGACTCCAATTATTCTTCGAAAAGTCCACATTCATTTAATTCGATGACAGCGATTATAACAAACGCATTTTAGAAATAAAATTATGATATGAATTGTTAAGGATGTTCTGGAAGTACCGGTCTAACTAAAAGTCATGCAGGAAATATTTAAAACACTGATATTAATTCTCCAAGGATCCAAAGACAAAAAAAAATGAATATAAATAGTTACGACAGATCTAATAGAATGTAAAATAAAAGACGTAGATTTAGTGACTGTAAATAACTGTTACTACTTTTTTTTTTTTTTAGAAAATCTCGAAAAAAAATGTTTGTAAATTGTTTCAAATTTTATTGTCATACTTTCGTTTATCTACTTGTGTGTAAAATATCGTTATATTGGTAGCATTTTTTAATGTTTACGCTTTTCTCTGTAACGCCATAAGGTTACGTGTTAAAGTCACCGAAAATTCAAAAATTGATAACTTAATTTTTGTTTGAATTGTGAATTGATCTGAAATTTGACCACGAACTTTAAAAGAACATACAGAATATTAAATTTTCATCTTTGTAGCATTTTGACAAACCCTCTAGAACATCCGCGAGATATCGCGTATATAAGAGCCTCATCCGCACAAGACTTTCGTATGGTAACATATAGTGTAACGAAACGTGGGTCAACGCACAAACGTGGCGTTATACGTCAATACGTTTCTTGTGCGTTGATCTACATTATGTTACCATACGAAAGTTTTATGCGGAGGCTCTAACTCGTCGAAAATAATGCGTACGATGAATAATATATCCGCTGCTGATAATAAAGAGACAGCACGATTGATCTCACACACAGAAATACAATGTCGATGTTACAGATAGAAATGCGCATCTTTTTCCTTGGATAAAACGAAGTTTAATGTTTTTCTTACGCAAGTAATAAAACGTCAATAATCTCGTAGTTTTGGCATGCTCGCGCATAATTTTCATTTCATAACGTGTTTTTTGCAATCTCCAGTCGTTCCACATATGTTCAAATAGATCCCTAAGCTAAAAATAAATAAAATAATGAGCTATTAATAATCAATAAATCACAACTTATAAAATAACAATAGCAAGACCTTTGAGATTGAGTGATTATATTTATTTATTAGACTATCAATCAGTGTGTTTTAACGTGATCATGTAATAATCGGATTTAAGTCCCACAAGATTTACGAACGATATATCGTTTATTTTCACTTTGTCATAAATATTTCGTTGTTTGTAAAAATTTTAGCTTTGAGCTTTAAAAATAATGACTGACGAGAATTAGGCATAATTAGGATTAGGCTAATTACAATTTTGAATACGATACATACTGTAAAAATAATAAAATTTGTGAAAGCGATTTTTTATGTAAATAACACTTTTTTTTAATTTGTGTAAAATTTATTAAAAATGTAATTATCGACCGAGCTTACTTTGTCTACATGTCTGACACGTGCATATACGTGGCTCAAGCTACCAAATGTAGGTATAAGTGCTGGTATCACATCGACTATGAAGTCCACGGTGATGTCAGACGTAAAAATACTCGATAGCTGGAAACATATTATTGACCCTTGATAAGAGTAAAAAGATATAAACATTCTCTAGAAGATATTATGAAGTCATCAAGAGACGTTTTAAAATTTTGAAGATATTTTATATAGAGATATCAAAAAGATATCTGCATGACACTTTTGAGATATATTTGTTTTAAGATATCTTCGAGATATTTTATTTAGAATCTCGCTTTTAAAAGTATATAATTTTAATTAAGACATTTTAAGTAGTACATATATATAAAATACATGTATATAAACTTTTAGATGTTTTTTTCCCTTCGGAAAGTCTCGTGAACATATTTCGGTGAAATCTTAAAAATGATTTTAAGAACATAATGTTTTTGGGACATCTTTTAGATATCTAGAATTATTATCGAAAAATAATTATCGGGCCATGAATTTCTCATATAGAAAAGGTCATAACTTCGATAAAACTAGTACATATATATATTTAATGAAATATTACAATGGCTTCCAATCATCTAATTCGTAAAATTCTGACATTTAATTGAAAGAAAAAAAATTTCTATGTTACTTAATATTAAAAAGAAAATTATTTCTAATGCCGTGATTACCTGAAAAAATGTAGACGACAGCAATACGATAGTGATAACAGCCCTCACTAAACGAGCGCTCCATTTGCTTTGATAGGGCCATAGTCCGATAAGCTTCAGGATAAATCGGTTTAATTTGTAATATTCTGCGGGATGTTCCATTTGCTTCGAAAGTTGCCAACAGACTGACCGTAAAGGCAAGAATTCATCGATTATTATTATTTCATTGCTATAGTCATCTCATCTTTTCTTCTTAAGGTCCACTCGGTTTTTTTTTTACCTATTATTCCATTATCTTTATTACCGGTTGAATTACATCGAAGAAAAATGCATGCGTTTAGTGCGGAGGCGCGAATTTTTCAGAGGCATCGAGGGGATCGATTGACACCGCGCGTACAATGTTCGGTTAATAACGTGGGAAACATCCGGTGGTTTGCGAACAGAAATTGTTTTCAGGCAGTTTTCCACCAACCGTGTTAGTTTTTCTCACACGCGCGACTATTCCGCTGCGACATCGCGATTATTTTGCGATTATTCAAAAACGGAGGGAGAGACCGAGATAAGTGGAGGAATACCAAGGTAAAACACAATATTCGAACCGCATTGTGCACATTACATAACGACGACCAAATCGTTAAGATACATTTATCTTGTACTTGTAGAACATATCTATATAAGAAGAAATTTTTAATTTTAATGGCAGGCACACTTTTTAAATATTTTATTGCAAGTGCTTCAGAGAAGGAATTTTTGGTCACACTATAGGTAAATATACAGAAGTAGACAGATATTTATTATTATTGTTATTATTGTACATATATTTATCTCTAGATAAGATATAAGAAATTGAATTTTCTCGCACAAGAAAAATTAACTTTAAAATTATCAGTAAATCTCGCACTGAAATAAGAGTCATTAAAAGAATTGTAACACTGTCTTAAATACCTAAATCTCCAAAGAATATTCTGGTATTTTTAAAGTATTTACACATGCTTTGTGAATTGCTTTACTTTATTTATTATATTACATTAATTCTGCGTATTTACTTACTTGTGAACCGCATCAAGAGATTCTTGTTTCTACAAAGAAGACTTTTCTATCCTACTTCTACGCTTACAACTTGACAGAAACAATTTTAGAATTGTCTGATGCACATGCCATAGGAGATCACCGTTTGAAGTATCTTCGAGAGATATATATATATATTTTTATTTGCCGTTTGTTATGACTCGCGCCGAATACGCGTACTTCTTTCTTACCATTCCGAAATTTTGTAAAGACATCACGTAAAATTTACAGGCGGTTAAGATGAGCGGATGATAGCGTCGCATCATTATCATTAACAATGCCTTCTGTTCTGAAACAACTGCGTTGTACCATGTAGATTTGAATCTGCAAAGCCAATATTTCCTTTTTATTTTGTAAACAATCAGTTCAGAAATTCTAAATATATAAAGAAAATTCAATAAAAGTTATTCGCCAGTGATGAAATAATTCGGTATAGTTAAACGGCCTGACTGGCAAGTAACTAAAATAACTTGAAAAGGACCCAAAATAGTGGTCGAAACGTCGTTGTGTTATGCTTAATAAAACTTGCCAGTCAGGCCGTTTAACTATACCGAATTATAAAGAAAATCTAATATATATATATAATATATCTCTCTCTCTTTAATAATAAATAAACATTGTTAATATAGTAAATTATGGTAATGTATTAATGTTTTTTTCTCTTTTAAAATCATGAGAGAGTTATATCATGTTTTTTTCTTTATTATAATATTCTATCTGTAATATCTCGTATCTTTCTCTTTACATATATATAATACGTAAACATCTAATATCTAAGTAGTACTTTTATCGTATAACATATATTTTTTAGTAAAAGAACGCTGCGCAAATAAGTTTAGAGAAATTGTCTCATTCTTCCAATAAATTTTATTTCAATGTTTCTCTCTTCTTGTCTTAAGGGGGGATCTCGTGCATAACACGCTAAAAAGTAAGGTAACTTTTGAAATTTTTTTTTGAAGAATTAATGCAACGGATCTTTTTCAAACTTTTAGAGTAGGTATTTTATTATATATTTTAAAAGATAAAAAAAATTTTTTTGTTAAAAAATAACAGTTGTGTTAAAAACTATGGAGGTTACGAGGCCGTGGTCTCGTTGCCGGAGTTGTAAATCGGCGGGCGTTATAGCGTCTGTTGCACTCGCCTGAAACAAAAACAAAAAAAATTTTCTTATTCTCTATAAAATTACGTCGTCGATAAACCTAAAAAAGAAGGTAAAAGTGAAAAATTAAGGAAACGGCGGGACTTAAAAAAAAAGTTGCAATTTTGACAAAAAAATTTCGCTTTTTTTAAGTCTTGCCGTTTCCTTAATTTTTCACTTTTACCTTCTTTTTTAGGTTCATCGACGACGTAATTTTATAGAGAATAAGAAAATTTTTTAAATTTTTGTTTCAGGCGAGTAACAGGCGCTATAACGCCCACCGATTTACAACTCCGGCAACGAGGCCGCGGCCTCGTAACCTCCATAGTTCCTAACACAATTGTTATTTTTTAACAAAAAAATTTTTTTTATCTCTTGAAATGTATAATAAAATACTCTAAAAGTTGAAAAAGATCCGTCGCATTGATTCTTCAGTAGAAAATTCCAAATGTTACCTTACTTTTTAGCGTGTTCACGAGACGCCCCCTTAAGTAGACAAGAGGTTTGCATTGTTAGGTTTTATTATCATTTCGAATATTACAAGTGCAAGATATACTCTTAAATATATTATCTATTGAAAAAAAACCTATATACTCACATTTTATCACATATACTCGAGCTCACATCCGTGATTCTTTGCCCCATATAACAAACCATAAATAAATAACACAGTGATGTAGTGGAGACACCAAAAGATCTGATAGCTAGTTCGAAACTGGAAATAGTTAATACCTGAAAGACTTCGTTTTAACGCTTCGACAACACTTGGAAACGCTCGAAACATTTCCGCAATCAACATACCTGGATTAACGTAAGACTCATCAAAACTATTATTGCCATGAGATCTATTAGAAACGGTACTGTGTGACAAGCTTCGACTATGTCAACGAATCTTATAAGGTGAAAAAAGTTATACGTGTTAAGGTAACGAGGCAAAGAATATTTTTTGCATGTAAAAAAAATTAATATTTATGTTAATGTACATTTATAATTGGGAATGCGACAATGCTCAAGTTTGAAGTTATAAGATTATTTTTCTTAATACAGAAATAATAAAATTGATATTTTTATGTGTATTCAAAACAATCTAAATATAAATCTATGGATTTATACTTATAAAGACGCGATAACATAAATATCTATGAAAGCCTTATATATATTCAAATTTATCTGTTTATTTTATCTGATTTAATGTTAATAAATAGATCTCTGTTGGTTGAAATCGCATGAGAGTGACGCGTGAAAGCGACACTGTTTAGTAACCATCAGTATTGCTACTTTTCAATTTTCCTTGCAAAGCACAACGTTAATCTGCTTCGTTTCGCATATTACTCGTGAAAAATAAAATTAATGCTGACACATTAAATATTGCATTAAATAAAAATGTATTAAATAAAAATACGAACTGTATAATGTTGTAATGCTGCCGTACAAAAACGGCCATGTTCCCGTAACTTATTTGTGACTTTTCAATTAAACCACCTGTCGCCTCGTCTCTGACAACGCAAAATAAGCGTTCCGCACGATACCTGTCGAAATGATTGCCAACGTTACTCTTATCGTAATAGACTTTCAGTCGAATGATATTCGTCTTGCAATGAGCGGAAGAAAAGATAAAAACGACTGTTTGTTGGCGTGAAAAATATAGAAAAGAAATAACAAAATACTAAAAAATTTCAAAGTCGTGAGAAGAAAATTTAAATTCTAAATAAAAGAAGAGATGTATCTGTCGCACACACTCGAGAATTGATAGACCAGTTGAGAGTTAATAGACGCTCCATTTTCAAGTAATCTAGGAATCAGGGTTGGGAAGTAACGCATTACCGTTACTATTATAGTTACTTTTTGTTGGAAAGATGCTTTGTGCGAGTAAAGCACTCGCGCCCTTCTAGAGGGCACCGCGTGACGCAGCAACGCGGGCGCGCATGCCGTACAAAGTGAGAAGCGACAGACGATAGTCCGAGCGCATCGCGTGCACACGTGTCTTATATTATATACGGTGTCTTATATTGTGTCGAGAATAAAGAGTTATAGTAACATCATATAAAAGTGTCGTTCGTTAGCAATCACCACCACCATCTCGATCCCTGCGGAGAGCATAATATTCCAACACTTTTTTCCAGTAACGATTTGCTAACGGTATTATTTTTTTCGGTAGTAACTGTGACGGTAACGCTGTTACATTTTTTGGGTAATGATATAACGAATCGAACAGTTACTTTAATCGTTACTTTAGGCCGGCTCTACAAGATCTATTAAACATCAGATAGGAAGAAAGTCCCCTAATGAGAGAGAGAGAGCGAGAGAGGGAGAGGGGAGAGGGGGAAAGAGAGAGAAAGAAAGAGAGAGAGAGAGAGAGAGAGAGCGATAAAGTATATACCGATGTCAAAATGTCAAAATGTTCAATGACCAAATATAAAAAAACTCTTTATTAAATACACTATAATTTTCAAGTTATTCTTCGGTAGAGCGCTTATTCAGCGTTGGAAGTTCCGTATTAATACTAATTTTGGAAAATACCTCGTTATCGTTACCATTAGTAAAAAAGTAACGAAACGTTACTGTTTTTGTTACTTCATTTAATTTAAACAAAAGACTGAATTTAACAAGTCCTACGGTAAGTCTATTTAAAGGTATAAAGTTAGTCCGTAAATCGCAATTCATGAGAAAAATTTGAAAATTTTACTATCCCCAGATTCCGTAAAGCGTATATGCGCGCATTTTCTAATAGTAAACGTTACGTATGCTATAGATAAATGCGCGCATATGCGCTTTACGGAACCCAGGGTATATGTTAATAAATGTGGTATCTGCACGTCTGCGTCTGTTGTACAAATTAAAAGTAATTGACCGTCCCGAACGCGAGATAATCGCTATCAAAAATTGCATTTTTTACATGTGTTTAGAAGGGCATTGCATGCACAAAGCATACGAAAATTTCATATTTTGAATTTTAATAATTAGAACGAATCTTATGAAAGTGATGAGAACGGATATATACAGTAGGACACTTTAGGAAGACTAGTAAAAAAAAAACGAAATTATTGACCGTTTAGATTTAGAAATACAATAATAAATAGACCCCAATTTTTGCAATTATTTGACGTAAAGAAGCGAGTGGAGGAAAAAAAATGAAAGAATAGTCTTTTGTTTGGTTTGTGAGGGACAGAACTATCCAAAAGTTTTCAGCTTGTAACCGCAAATAGTCAGATGTTTTTACTAGAGTTCCTATAATAAGAGTTAAGCCAATGTGGTGACAATTTTTGATTGGTACCGCCATATGTTTCAGCCAAGTTAGTGAAAGTGAGACAAGCTATAAATGGGAGTGAGACAAAGCTACCATGGTCGCCATATCCTTCAGCTAAGAAATTAGTGGGAGTGAGACAAAGCTATAGGTAACGGTGTCCTAACTCTTATTATAGGAACTCTAATATTTACGTCGATTTAAAGTATAAAATTTTGGATCGCATTGTCACGGACTAATTACCTTAAAGATAAGTTAAAGATAAAAAGTTGCGATTTTAATGATTTTTTGTTAAACAAACATACTCGCGCGCGCGAGTTTGTTTATATTTAACAAAAAATCATTAAAATCGCAACTTTTATCTTTAACTTATCTTTAACAAATAGACGTACCGTTGGACTGGTTAAATTCAGTCTTTTGTTTAAATTAAATGAAGTGACAAAAACAATAACGTTTTGTTATTTTTTTTAAATATTAACATGCCTTTTTTTAGAAAGGAACGGTAACAATAACAAGTTATTTTCCAAAATTAGTAACGATAACGGGAACGAGTTATTTTTTTTAAATCGGTAACAAGTAACGGTAACACTAGTTACTTAAAAAAAAATAACTTTCCCAACCCTGTCTAGGAGTCATCTGCTTTTTCGCAAATAGTAGTAAATTGTACGAGGAGTAATTTCTTACCCCAGCAACTCGCACATTCCGCAAACGTGTTGCGTGAGAGTCATAAAATAAGTGGAAGAGGCGATATAAATTACAGGTAACATTAAAAGCACAAGACTTATGTGAATCCGAATAAGGTGAAAGTATCGCTCCTCATCGATAAAAAATTCAGCATTAAAGGGTCGCACCCGAGGGCGAGAATCGTTCATAGGCGACACAGTGTCAAGAATATCAGGTATAAACATCCATATGTTGTATCCCCCTATGTTCACATATGTCAGGACTGAAAAATTCGATAATAATCAAAAATTTATTTTTAGCAACAGAAGTATCTATATGTGTGCATGTGTATAAAAGAAATAAAGTTGAATGCAAGGACATGACAGGCGTATTAATCTTTTGGTCAGCAAAAGTATTGTATGGTTGACGTTGCTTCGAATTTTTCAGAAGACATATTTACAAAAGCTGCATGATTAAAGCAATGAAAAATAATGAAAATATGTTCAAAGTAAGATTTAATTTTTACTATGTATATATAAACATTATTTTTGGTATTATATTTAAACTCTGATGGTTTTAAAGGCTCGATTTAATTAGACTGTCTTAATATAAAAATTAAATTCTAGTAAGTAAACTCTAGAAGTCTCTTTCTTTCTCTGATGTCCATTCAATGTTGATTAACTTCAATCTCATTTTACAACTTTTCTTAAAACTAGAAAAAGATAAAAATGTAAGTTAAACCGTGATTAAAATTACATAGGTAGGATTTAGGTAAAAATGGATATTAATGTCTCAAAACATGAAAAATTAATATATTATTGAAAATAAAATAATGATTCAGAAAAAATAGGGAATAAAATAATTTAGCATCGAATCAAATGAATTATGCTTAGAAAATTTCACATTTAATTTAATAACAGCAATTATAATAAATGCTTTTGAAGGTGAAATTGTGATGTGAATAGCTAGAAGAAAAATCACATGTTGCACATTGAAAGTCATGTGTACGATAAATTATGTGTGATAAGTTATATGTTTGATGCTTATAATGAAAAACATAATTGTCGCAATCTTATACACAGAAATACAGCCTCGACCTCGCAGGCAGAAACGTCTGTCTTTTTCTTCTGTAGACCAAGCGAGGTTTAATGTTTTTCTTACTCAGGTAATAGAGTGTGAATAATCTTGAGGTCTCGGCATGCTCGTGCATAATCTTGATCTCATCGTGTGACTTTTGCAACGCCCAGTCTTTCGACATACGCTCGAGTAATTCTCTAAACTAAAAGAAAGTATAGAATGATTAATAATTATGTATTTCAAAATAGTAAAAAAGAATCGTAAAACATTTATATATTAAGCCGCATTAATAACAATTGTAACATGTAATTTTAATTCTAAAAAATTTACGAAACTATTGTTGTATATTTTAGCTATAATGATATAACTTTCTCTTGTCACGTTAACTTCGCTTTACTTTTATCTTTTACTACTCATAATAATAATCCATGGTGATGCATGATAAAGACAGATTATGACAATTAGTATCTTAATTAACGAGGGATCTTAATTAGGTTAAATAACGTCCCAGTTAGACAGAATGAAATTTGTATGTAATGTAGTAAATTTATGTCGATTACTAAAAATGAGTGGCGGCCAAGGTTTTTATATATTAGAGACAAAAGATACATTTTATTAAATTTAAGTTATGAGAAATACAAATCCTTAGAAAATCTACGAAGCTTACTTTGTCGATGTGATTGATACGCATATACAAGTTGGTCAGGCTGCCCATTATAAGTAGAAGCGACGGTATCCCATCCACTATAAAGTCCACAGTGACTTCAGATGTAAAAATGCTCGAAATCTGGAATGATGTTGTCAACTCTTAATAAAGGCGAAGAAATAACTTTATCGAAAAATTATTATCCGAGATACTAAAGATCGATTAAATTTTACGCATGCCTTCATTATAGTTTCGATAAAACAGTGATGTATTAGATTTCTCAGTTTATATTCTATTTTTATTTTTCTAACAGCGTGAGAATGTTATTTCCAATCCTCTAGTTAAAAAAATATGAATAAAAAAAAAACTGTTTTCTAAAACCGGTAGTACCTGAAAAAATATAGATGATAGCATGACGACCGTGTAAGCGGCTCTTATTAAGAGAGCGTTCCGCTTGCTTTGATAAGGACATAGTCCGCTAATCGATAGAAGAAGTCGGTTCAATTTGTAGTAATGTTCTCCGGGATGTTCCATTTGCTTTGAAAGTCTCGAGCAGACTGACCGTAGAGGCAAAAGCTCCTCGATTATTTCATTTCATAAATATCTTTATTTTTTTTCTTAAAGTCTACTAGATCTTTTTTCATTTATTATTTCTTTATCTTTATTATGAGTTGAATTACTTCGCAGAAAAATGCACGCGTTTAGCGTGGAAGCGCGAATTTTTCAGAGGCGTCGAGGGGATCGATCGGCAGCGCGCGTACAATGTTCAGATAATTGAGTGGGAAACATCCGGTGGTTCGCCAACAAAAATTGTCTTCAGGCAGTTTTCCATCTATCTATCGTGTTAATTTTTCTCGCACGCGCGGTTATTACGCTGCGACATCGCGAATATTTTTCGATTATTCAGAGGCAAAGGGAGCGAACGATGAGTAAAAGAAGTCTAAGGTAAAATTACAATATTCGCGTCCCTTTTATACAGTGCATAACAAATAAACGACGACCAAATCGTTGAGATACATATTATTCTTATAGAACATATTTGAGAAATATTTTTTAATTTTAACGGCATTTTAATTTTACGACTTTTAAAATATTTCATTACAAGTATTTTAAAAGAAGAATTTCTGGGCATGCTACAGGTATGTAGATATACAGAAGTAGATATTTAGTATTGATATACAGATATTTATTTCTAGATAAAATATAATAAATTAACATTTTGTGCGTAAGTCAAATAAATTTTAAAATCATCCGTCAGCTAATCTCTCACTAAAAAATAAAAGTTATTAAAAAAAATTGTAACACTGTCCTAAATATTCCAAAGTATATTCTGTTCTTTTCAAAGTATTCACATATGCTTTGTGAGTTGTTTTACTTTTTTTATTACATCACGCGTTTATTCTGCGAATTTACTTACCTATAACACCAAAAGATTCCTGTGTTTACAAAGAATTTTCGATATGATCGTAAGAAGAAGATTAGTGCATGTGTAACATTCCCGCGAATGTTTTCTGCGCTACTTCTACAATTACAATTTGACAGAAACACTTTCAGAATTGTCTCATGAACATGCAATAGGAGATCGTTGTCTGAAGTATCTTTGAAAGATACATGTATTCTTTATTCGTCGTTTGTTATGATTCGCGCTGAATACGCGTACTTCTTTCTTACCATTCCGAAATTCTGCAAAGACATCACGTAAAATTTACAGCCGGTCAAGATGAGCGGACGATAGCGTCGCATCATTATTATTAACAATGCCTTCTGCTTTGGAACAACTGTATTGTTCCATGCACAATTGAATCTGTAGAGGTAAAGTTTTTTTTTTTAATTTGGAAACAATCAAGTTTGGGAATTATATAAAGTAAAGTAAATGATATGTGTAATATTTCTCTCTTTCTCTCTCTCTCTCTCTCTCTCTCTTTCTCTCTCTCTCTCTCTCTCTCTCTCTCTCTCTCTTTCTCTCTCTTTCTCTCGCACATATATATTTTAAATATATTATTAAAGTAATATTATACTCACATTTTCTCACATATACTTGAACTCGAATCCCTGATTCTTTGTCCCATATAACAAGACATGAACATATAACATAGACCTACAATGGAAACACTGATAGATCTAAAAGCTCGTTCGAAATTGGAGAAAGTTAACATCTGAAAGACTTTGTTTTAACGGTTCGACAATACTTGGCGACGTTCGACATTTCCACAATGAGCATACCTGGATTAGTGTCAGACTCATCATAATTATATGTCCTATGAGATCTATTAGAAACTGTATTGTGTTACAAGTCTCGATAATATCAACGAATCTTGTAAGATAAAAAATGTCATATGTATTAAAGTAATAAGGCGAAGAATATTTTTTGCATGTAAAGTAATTAATATGTGTGTTAACGTATATTTATAATTGGGAATACGGCGGTGGTCAGTTTTGTAATAATAAGATTATTTTTGTCGATAGAGAAATAATAAAATTTAAGTAAAATTCAAACAAAGGGCTTGCGAACTAGCTAGATGTTTGTGCTACCATAATATATTTCGAACAATAAAAATAATAACAAACATTTCGGCCATTCTTCAGTGTACACACAATGACATCGTTAAATATAAAACCGAAATAGTCGTTATATGTTAATTGAAATTAAAAATTAAAATTACAAAACCCCCTTACATTCGCATAATTAATAAAATATCCATTACTAATAAAATTTATTTATCAAATATTTATATATATTTAGATTGATATGTATTTAGATTGATCTGTATGTATATTTAATTATATTATTTGATTTAATGCTAACAATTTATCCTTATTTTATATTGTATTTATATTTTTTTAGTTTAATTCTTATAATCCATTCATTTTGAAATTGTATCAGAGTGAAAGAGACACTGTTTAGTTACCATCATTGTTACTTTTCAATTTTCCTTGCAAAGCACAACGTTAATCTGCTTTATTACCCATATTCCTCGTGAAAAATAAAATTAATGCTGACTCGTTACATATATCATATTTTAAATGAAAATATAGTAAATAAAAATACGAACTTTATAATGTTGCAATGCTGCCGTACAAAAATGGCTATATTTCCGTAACTTATTTGTGACTTTTGATTTAAATCACATGCCACCTCGTTTTTGACAACGCAAAATAAGCGTTCCGCGCGATACCTGCCGAAATTATTGCCAATGTTACTCTTATCATATACAATTGACTTCCACTCGAATGATATTCATCTTGCAATGAGCGAAAGAGAAGACGAAACGACTCTTTATCATTCGCGTGAAAAATGTCGAAAAGAAATAACAAAATAATAAAAATTTTCAATGACATAAGAAAGAAAAATTATTTTTTCTAAATAAAAAACGAGATGCATCTCTCGCGCAAACTCGAAAATTGAGAGACTATTTGAGAGTTAATAGACGCTCCGCTTTCAAGTGATCTAAGAGTCTTCTCTTTTGTATATAAGTATAGTGGTAAATTGCGCGAGAAGTAAATTTCTTACCCCAACAACTCGCACATTCCACAAACGTGTTGCGCGTGAGTCTGAAAAAGACCGGTACAACTGATATAAATTGTAGTTGTGACGAGAAGCACGACGCTTATCTGGGTCCGAACGTGGTAAGAGTACCGCTCATCATCTATAAAGAATTGAATATTAATAGGTTGCCTCTGCGGGCGAGATTCGTTCATAGGCGATATAATGTCGAGAACTTCCGATGAGAACATCCATATAATGTATATCCCTACAAATATGTACGCCGCACCTGAAAAATTCAGTAATTGTAAAATTACTGATATAATTTTTAGCAAGAGCTATGCGCGCGCGCGCGCACGCGCGTTGTGTGTGTGTGTGTGTGTGTGTCAGTCTTATACACAGAAATACGGTCTCGATCTCGCAGGCAGAAAGAACCTGTCTTTTTCGTCTATAAACAAAGCTATATTTAGCGTTTCTCTTACTCAGGCAACAGAGTGTGAACAATCTTGCAGTTTCAGCATGCTCGTGCATAATCTTGGCTTCATCGTGTGTCTTTTGCAACGCCCAGTCTCTCGACATACGCTCGAATAATTCTCTAAACTAAAAGAAAGTAGAGCGATAAATAAATGATCGTGTATTTCAAAATAGTAAAAAAATCGATAGACATCTATACGTTATTAAGTCTCATTGATCCGTTAACATAATTGTAATAGGTAATTCTAATTTCAAAAGATTTACGAAAGTAATGTTGCATATTTTGGCTGTGATATAATTTTTCTCTTGTCACGTTTACTTCGTTTTACTTTTATCTCTTATTGCTCATCAAATTATCTATGGCGATGAGCAATAAGGAAGGTAATTGCAAGTCAGTGTCTTAATTGGCGAGGGATTAAGCTAAATAACGTTCCAGAGAGTAAAACAGAGTGAAATGTAGGTATATATTTACAATAGTAATTTTGGTTATTTCTATAATAAAAATGAGTTATCTATCTATCTAAAAACGAGTGACAGCTTAGGTTTTTATGTATTAGAGAAAAATGATACATTCTATTAAGGGGTCATGCCTAGTTTGGAGGTGAAATTTTCGGGGATTTTTATAAGAAAGTTTAATTTATTTTTTTTTACAACAAAAAGTTGATATTAAAAGTACATATATTGAACAACATTCAGAATTTTTTCTATTGAAAATTATTGTAAATTAAGGAAGCTATGGCCACTTTAAGGAAACCTGAGGTGTCGTGCGGTATACACGATAACTCCGAGCCAAATCATCTGAAATCAAAAAACCAAAAAGATTCTGTTAGTATATGAATATATCTTCTTCGTGAACAAAGGATTTTTTTTAAAAATAATTTTTGACAAAATGGCGGTTTTAAGGAAAAGCGCAATTTTTCGGGCTCTTAATTTTTCGTTTTTCTTTAATAAAAAAAAATTTTTTATTAAAAAAAAACCCTTTGTTCACGAAGAAGATATATTCATATACTAACAGATTCTTACTGGTTTTTTTATTTCAGATAATTTGGCTTGGAGTTATCGTGTACACCGCATGACACCTCAGGTTTCCTTAAAGTGACCGTAACTTCCTTAATTTACAATATTTTTCAACGAAAAAAATTCTGAATGTTGTTCAATATATGTACTTTTGATATCAACTTTTTGTTGTAAAAAAAAATAAATTAAACTTTCTTATAAAAATCCCCGAAAATTTCACCTTTCAACTAGGCATGACTCCTTAAATTTAAGTTATGAGAAACACAAATTGTTAGAAAATCTATGCAGCTTACTTTGTCCACGTGTATGATACGCGTGTACAAGTTGGTCAGGGCAATCAATACAATTAGAAACGCCGGTATCCAATCCACCATATAGTCCACAGTGATGTCAGATGTAATAAATATGCTATTAATCTAGTAAGATGTTATTAACTCTTAATAAGAACGAAGAAATAATTTCATCAAGAAACAGTTATCCGAGACACGTTCGACTAAATTTCTCTCGTGAAGAGCGTTCGTTATAATTTCAATAAAACTGTAATATTTGATTTCTGAGTTTATATTCTATTTTTTTTCCTAATACCGTGAGAACGTTATTTCCAATCCTCTAGTTCGAAAAATATCTAACATTAAATTGAAAAAAATACTATTTTCTAAAACTGCAAGTACCAGCAAAACTATAGTTATTAACATGGTGACCGTTAAAACAGCTCTTATTAAACGAGCTCTCCATTTGCTTTGATAAGGACATAGTCCGGTAACCGACAGAAGAAATCGATTCACTTTGTAATAATGCTCCTCGGGATGTTCCATTTGCTTCGAAAGTTGTCAACAGACTGACCGTAGAAGCAACAGTTCTCGATTATTATTTCTTACTGCTATAATCTCGAATTTTTTCCGTTAGGTCCG